AGTCTCTAARTTGGGATCCTCCTGTCTCAGCCGCCCAAGTCACTCAGATTACAGACATGTACCACCATGCCTGGCTTCAATTTTTTTCTTTACCAAATGAAAACATCTAACCGGTAGAACTGCAGGGGGGCAGGTGGGGAGGTGTGGAATGAAATGAAGTCATCATTATGCACAGTGCCTAAAACATAGTGAACACTAAAATATTAATCTTTTCCTGTAAATGTATAAACCCTGATTATTAATACAAAATTTGTTCTACTGTATAATGGAAAAATTGACTATTTAATAACTTTGTAATTTCATAAAGTCTAAGAATGCTAAATGACCAGTATGCTTATCAGTCCCTATTGGTTTCTAAACTGGTAATAAAATATGTCAAGTTTGTTCCAGAGTGATCTGTTCCAGAGTGATCTGCCAATTAGTAAATTAACTGTGGCCAGCTCACCAGAGCAGATAGTTAAAGTTTCCAGGCTTGTTCATTCACTGATTCATTCATCCATTTATCCCACCAATACTTATGGAGAACCTAATATGTGTCAGACACTATTCTAGGTCCTGGAAAAAAAGCAAAGCATGAAAATAATCAACTCCCTGCACTAAAAGAGCTTATGACCAAGCATCTGTGGAAGGGAAACAATAAACCAATATCTATGGGTGTTAATCTTATATCCTGCTACTTTGCTGAACTTATTTACTAGTTCTAGAAGTTTTCTGGTGAAATCTTTAGGGTCTTCTAGGTATAGAATCATATCATCAGCAAAGAGTGCCAATTTGAGTTCTTCTTTTCCTATGTGTATCCTTTTCTTTCATCTAATTGCTCTGGCCAGTGTTTCAAGAATTATGTTAAATAGAAGTGGTGGAGGAGGGCATCCCTGTCTTGTTCCAGTTTTTAGAGGGAATGCCTTCAATTTTTCTCCATTTAGAATGGTGTTGRCCTGGTGTTGGCAAGGATATAGAGAAAAAGGTACACTCATATACTGCCGGTGGGACTGCAAACTGGTGTAGCCAATATGGAAAGCAGTACAGAGTTTTCTTGGAAAATTGGGAATGGAACCACCATTTGACCCAGCTATTCCTCTCCTCGGTCTCTACCCAAAAGACTTAAAAAACCACATACTACAGGRACACAGACACATCAACGTTATAGCAGCACAATTCACAATAGCTAAACAGTGGAACCAACCCAGGTACCCTTCAATAGATGAATGGATTAAGAAAATGTGGCATATATACACATGGAAAATTAATCAGCAAAAGAGAATAAAGTCATGGCATTTGCAGGTAAATGGAGTTAGAGAAGATAATGCTAAGTGAAGTTAGCCAATCTCAAAAAAACAAATGCCAAATGTTTTCTTTGATATAAGGAGGCTGCTTTATAGTGGGATAGGGAACAGGAGCATGGGAGGAATAGATGAACTCTTAGATAGGGCAGAGGGGTTGGAGAGGAAGGGAGGGGGCATGGGGTTATTAATGATGGTGGAATGTGATGATCATTATTATCCAAAGCACATGTATGAAGACACAAATTGGTGTGAATACACTTTGTATACAACCAGAGATATGAAAAATTGTGCTCTATGTGTAATAAGAACTGTAATGCATTCCACTGTCACATATAAACAAAAAAAGTAAAAAAAAAAATTTCACCTCTAAATTATATAAGAATAAAAATCATTAGGTAAGGTTCATTTTTCTATGCAAAGAAAAAAAAACATCTAATGCAATATCTGGGGACAATCAAGAAGGAAAATAAGTCAACCTAAAGCTGAGGCCAGAAAGATGGAACTGGGATATGACTTCATGCCTTCCTTTGACATGCAAAAGAGGCAGGGCCCTAATATACATCACTGATCCCAGTGCTGGAAAAAAAAAATCAACTTTGTATCATATGTGTGTTGAAAATAAAAGGCAAAAATATGGTTCCAGCTCTCAAAACAGCTGGGAGATAACAAATACTTGGCAAGGTAACATAAATTCAAACCAAAAATAACCTCCAAGTGAGCATTTCAAGTAAGTAGGATAGGAGTTGAGACAATAATTATCTGAACATTTAGCTAATGCTTAGCACTCAACTGAACACATTTATTTTTAAAATTTACTTGCAGTACTGGGGATTGATCTAGGGGCCTCATGAACACCAGGCAAGTGTTCTACCACTAAGCTACAACCCCAGCCCTCTACTGAACAATTTATAACATTTGATCCTCACAATAACTATATAAAGGGAATTATTACTATCCTCATTTTATAGCTGGAAGCATAAGAGATGAAGAGAAGGGATAATCTTAAACTAGGATTGTTTGGGAGGACTCATGGAGGAGAGAGCATGTGTTGAGGGTAGRGGAGGATTTAGATGGTGCAGAAGGAGGTAGCAGTGTGCAGAGGAAATGGACAGCAGGGAATGTGTGTCAATCACCCATGGCAGAGGCAGTTTTCAGAAAATTTGTAGCTGATCAAAAACTTGTAGCCAATTCAAAAAGCTATTTGAAAAACAAAGAGACACAAGATAAGTAGAAAAAATAAGAAATTTTTAAAAAGACTGCTTAATAAAGACCAAAAATTGGTCTTTTAAGAAAAGGGGGAAAAAAAGAAAAAGAAAATTATGAATGAGAAAGGGAGTATATAATAATTATTTTCAGAACTATGAGAGTATTTTTTTATTATGGGACTCAAAAAGGTTTATGTAAGCAGGATGCCTTTCAGATTAGTGAAAAAAAATTGAAACTTTCTATTAAAAATATCGATGTGGCTCAAGTAGTAGCRCGTTTGCCTGGCATGCGTGCCAGGTTCGATCCTCAGCACCACATACAAACAAAGATGTTGTGTCCGCCGAAAACTAAAAAATAAATATTAAAGTTATTCTCTCTCTCTCTCTCTCTTGCTCTTTAAAAAAAAAAATATCAATCAGAAGAAAACTGGTTAAAGGATTACTAAGCAGCCAGTAAAATTAATAAATCTATGTAGGTCCCTTACAGAAAAACACATTACAAGATTGAATGGCAAGAGGTAAATTATAGAATGCAAATGACAGTGCAGTGCCACCTCAGTATATATCATATGTAGATGTATGGGACATAGCAGACTTTTTACCCCATATATTCCAGTGTTTCTTTTGTTTTGTTTGCAGTGCTGGAGATGGAACTCAGGGCCTCATGTATGCTAGGTAATGCTCTACCACTGAATTAATTATACCCTTGACTCCTACAGTATTGAGTTAACTGCAAAATATATGCATTCATGTAATAATTTTGAGGGGGAGGGGTACTGAGGATTGAACCCAGGGGCACTTTATCACTGAGCCACATCCCCAACCCTTTTTAACTTTTTTATTTTGAGACAGGGTCTCACTAAATTGCTAAGGCAGGCTTTCAACTTGCAATCTTCCTGCCTCAGCCTCCTGAGCCACTGTGATTACAGCCTTGTGCCACCATGTCAGGCTCATGTAATAATTTTTAATTGAAAAAAAGGAAGAGAGCTGGGAAAAATACATCAAACTTAGTTGATTATGTTTGAGAAGGATAGCAAAAGAGATTTTTACTTTTCACTTTATATATGTACATGTATAAAACGTTAAACATGCAAATTACCGTGAAATTATTTTAACATAAAATAATACATATGAAAATATTTTCAAAGACTAATGAAATGGATCTCCACTAAATATACTGGCATTTTTTTCAGTCACAATGAAAAATAAAGCAGGATGACTTAATGGTATTTTACCTGGTACTTTTCCAGTTCTCCTTCCTTTACAACATAATTAGAAATCACTTCAAAAGAATTCCTCATTCATTTATGGAATATTACTACCTTAAATATTACCTTCCGGACCAAGAGTTCAAAGAATAGTGTATAAAAAATTTTAGCAGAGAATCCAAAGCTGGCAAGGATATCACCAACGGGTTTACTTTTTTTCCATGCCCTAATAATTATTACAGCAGTATGTAATTTCTAACTGTCCAGGTTCCTAATTCTTTTAAAAATAAACCTGTCACACATAAACACATAAATATAAGTCATATTGTGTGTGGGTTTTTTCTCTTTTTCTGAGATTGTGCGTTTCACATGATTGGCGAAAGGTATTCAATGAGATTTAAAAAAAAAAAACGAAAGCGCTCAGTTCATGATGGTTAAATCACCATCTCTAACACAATTGGGCGCTATGTGCCAGGCTGCAGCATAATTGGAAGCAGCGTGTCTCTGCACAATGACAAATCTGAATATTTTCCCCGGAATAGTACACTTTCAAAAGAAAAACTCGAGCCATTTCCAACGCCAAGTCGAGAAATATAAAGGTACTTAGATAATGGAGGCACAAGGTCAAGTAGAAAAATTTAACACAAAAAAGGAACCGGACTGACTGCCAACAACTGGCCGGACCGTGCCTTACACAGGACTGCACGTCAGGTCGCAGCCAGGTCTCACGTCAGGTCGCAGTCGTAGGAACATCAAAAATTCACATCGCAGGCATTTTTCTCCTTGGACGTGAAAGTGCTTCATCCACCCCGGCCTTGCTTTACCCACTCACGGCTGGTGGACACCAACGTCCTGACTAGGATGAAAGCGAGCTGTTCCCTCCATTTTGTCCCCAGTCTCCTTTAAGCAAACAGAGCAGTGCTATTTTTAAAGACAATAAGTAATAAAACCTAGAAGAGGTGGTGTGGGGGTGGGGGCGTTGAAGCACAATTGCTGGAGGGAGGCACGAGGGACTAAATGGCTGCTAGCGCAGAGAGCAGCAGACGGTGGTACTGAGGCCTTGTTCTGGGCCCGGAAGAACAAAGGACACGTAGGGGACGAAGGCCGACGAACTAGCGAAAGGCGACTTCCGGGCCAGGGACCCGGACTGGGAGCGCGTGGGGCTCAGCCAACCCCTGCCAGGGGTCCGCCCCGCAGGACAAAGCCGCGGCGGCGCGCGCGCGCTCCCTCCGCCGCTAACCGCCCTCGACGCGTGCCCGGCGCCCGGGTGCCTGAGAAAACGCGCGCGCCCGGGGACGGTTAAAAATGGCGGTTAGGCGGGGGCGGGAAGAGGGCCGCGTCGCTCACCCAGGATTCCAAGTCTCCCCCACCCTGCCTGGAAGCCGGGAGCCGGAGGTGGTTCGCTAGCCCGCCGCCTCCCACGCTCCCGGCCCTTCGAGCTGGTTRCTGGGCATGAAAGATAGCGTAATCCGTCCGATTGAACAAAAAAGGTGGCAGCCGAGGCGCCAGCACGGCCTCTGCGTAGCATTAAGGACATTCCCTAAAATGGCGGCCGGCGCGCGGGGGCGGGCGGGAGCCAGCGGGCGGGGCGCGGCTGGCCTGGCTTCCGCTCCTGAGGCCTTGGRCGGACGCAAGGTGGGGCTGGAGGAGCCAACTGGTCCCCATGGCTGCCGTGCCGGAGCAGGGCGAGTCCGGGAAGGGGAAGGTAACGCGGGGATGGCGGGGCGCACGATCTCAAACGGGAGAGTGGGGCGGGAAGCGCGTAAGGACCCGGCGTCCTGAGTTTCCTAGGCTTGAAGCACGGGTCCCCGGTTTCTCCATCAGGAGAATGCAAGAAACCATCGTAACTATTACTAGTCCTCTCCCGCGCTTAGTGGCATGGACAACCCTGTCCTAAACGAGGGGAAAGCGATCAGCAATATTAATGATTTGCAGTTTGTTATGAAACAGCCAACACTGAATCCTTTGACAAAATTTTGCTGACGGAGGACATTACATTGAATTTTGCTTGTTGCGAGATGAAAATGCTCCGAGGACAGGTACCTTGCCTTAAATGTGGCATTCTACACATTAAACATATTCAGTAAATGTTAAGGAATGAAAACTTGGCTATATTCCGGTTATGTCCAGAGCAGAAAGGTCAGATGAAGGGGGCGGCGGGGGGATTCCCATTAGCTTTCTCTGGACCAAATGGCAGAGTGCAACGTAGTGGTGTAACTAATAGCCTGCCTAASCGACATCCCTGTTTCTTGGCGCTCTCCCCTATTTAGTCCATTTCCACGGTTGTTTGCAAGAGCTTCCCGTAGTATAAACTATACAGTTTCAGCCTATTTAAAATCCAGTCCTAATCGCCCATTTCTTTCAGGGTAAAATCCAAATTCTTGGTGTAGTAAAGCTGAATTAGGTTCTCTGTAGCCTTCGAACGGTCTCATGAGACTCCCCAAAAGCAGACGGAGGTGTTTCCCTATCTGGCATTTTGTACGTAGCTTCACCATTACAGTATTTTTGAGTGTGTCTCAAAAAGTTGCCCAGACGGGTCTCTGACTTTTTGATCTCCCTAGTAGCGTGTGTTAAAAGGTATGTATGCACCACCATGCCTTGCTGACTGATGTACACTAAGAATGAAGGGAGAAAGTGATAAGTATAGACCTATTTGACTCACGAATAGAAAAACAAGTTGTAGAAGGTGGCTATAGACCTTAACCTCAACATCTGGAAACTGAACTCAGGTATCTGGAAACTGAACTCAGGGTTGCTTAACCATTGAAACACATCCCAACCCCTCTGTATCTTGGAACAGTCTGTAAATTGAAGCTGGCTTTGAACTTGCTATCTTGCCTGACACCCAGCCACAGAAGGCATAAGGTTTTCAGACTTGGAAAATGCTTTTCTTAGTCTTTTGCTTTCATTTATCAAAGGGTTAAAAGGATAGTTTTGTGCGGCAGAAATGACACGGGCCTTGGGGTCAGACTTMCATCACATTTACCTGAAGCCACGTTTCCACCTTGTGATATTATGGGCCTGCCAGTAATGACCCCTGTCCCTAAATTACCAATTAGGTTTGAGCTCAAGTTCTCAGTATTGACACTTTAGACCAGTTTTGTTGAGGGTGGAGCTCAAGAACTATCACGTTTCTCAGAATCAGCTTTGGCTCRCTTAATTTTAAAATACCATTTTACCTCTAACTTGTTTTCAAGCCAAGATTATTCCATTATGGACATGGCTGTAATTCCAGCAGCTCAGGAAGCTGAGACAGGAGTATCCCAACTTCAAGGTCAGCCTGGGCAACTTGGTGAGACCCTGTCTCAGAAGATCAAAAGGGTTGGGGATATGGCTTAAGAGTTCAATTCCTGATACCAAAAAGGGGCACCCCTTATGCTCCATGGTCCAACCCCAAATCTGAATCCAAGTATGAGGGCTTAAAAGTTCAAGGTACCTACCAACTTATTTGGCAGGTAAAATTTAGCACATTTATTAAAAAACTGAACAAATTCTAGAAATTTTTGCCACAAAAAGGAATCCAAATAGGTGGCAATGGGGGGGGTGTCTTGAAGGAACCTGTGCTTTAAGTTGGAGGGTATTAGAAACTGCTGCTTTATAATTGTTACCACACATTATCAGCAATGCCCCCCCATCTTAATCTAATTCCTAGAGGAGTAGGCTTGTTTGAGGGTAACATACGTTCCTTATCAATATAAACAAGTCTCTTTTTATGTGAAAATTCACTGCAGATCATGTATTCATGTGAGAGTAGAGGGAAACAGGAGGCAAAGGGGGGTAAAAAAGGACAATCACATCAAGAGTGTGCAATTTTTACTTTAATATGAACCAAGGCATTTTGTCTCTTCCAGTAGATTTGAGCCAAAGCAGCAAACATGGATGGAAATACAATTGACTTATCATGTATCATGACTTCGACTCCTGTCCTTTCCTTTATTATTTCATCCTACAGAATCTTCCCACAATGGCCCCACACCATATGAACCTGTTTTTTAAAAAGTCATGTGAAATGGACAGTGGCTGGCTTCCTTTAAAAAGCAATGTTACTGAAAACTATCATTTCTCATTTTGTAAGACTTTTTTGGGGGGTGGCACTGGGTTCTGAAACTCTAGACTTGTTTATAAGAAATGTCAGTTAAATTTAAATGTCTTGTCTCTCCCAAAAGCCCTAAAAGACAGAATTAAATTGAGTGACAGACATCCCAGTTAAATATAAAACCAATGAATGGAGGAAAGCATTATCGAGACAAAAATTCAGCTCTCCAGATTCCCAATTTGTCCCATCACACCAAGATGATGTGATAGTACAGGCCCAGTGTACTCCTATGTTCCTATGAAACATGAAAGGTTGTTCTAACAATTGATATTCTTGCTAACTTAAGTCTTGCTGTTTCCCAAGTTACATTGCTTTTATACTCAGTGATAGTCAAGTTTAATAATCTCATTTTAAGAGCTCATAATACAGTGTATACTCGTGTTTCCTAAATAGCCAATTGCTGAGGGCCTTCTGGCCAAATTTTCAAGGTTTTCAAATTAAAAGACATAATCAAAGGCAATGTAAACTGTAAAGTTGCAATGTAAACTGTAAAGTTGCTGAATAGCACATATTCTAGTTTAATCCCTTTGTAACAGAATATTATTCACATTATAATCTTGCCAGGTCACCCTGGACATTTTCTTGTTCAATCTAGGTTCTTTTCTATTTTATCCTAGCCCTTTAAGCTCCTAGGAATTTTAGATGTTGAAAACATTCCCTGTGCACGGGATTCGATATTATATGGTTCATTTGGATCTGTTGTGGCTGGACTTGGGCATTTTTTGTTAACTAGTGAGTATATTTATTTCTCTGTATAAAAACATTTCTTGTCTATAAGGCATGCATGTATGATGATTATATTCTAGTGGTGATGCTTATTTTTGACAGGTAGAATTAGAAGATCATGTGATGTTGGAGTGGGAGGATTTATCTTGGTGACTTTAGGATGCTGGTATGTTTACTAAGTATTCCTGAAATTCCATGATTTTAATAGGTTACCTAAAATTCAAATGCACACTCTTCAGAGAAATATCAAAGATTCCAGAAGTCATTGAAGACTCTTTATTTTTAAGGGAAATCTGCCTTACAAAACAATACTGCTTTTGCCTTTGCAAAAAGCAATCTGTTAACTATCATCATTTTTGAATGCCTGAACAGATTTAATAAGGCCTCAACTATTCCCAGTGGTTTCTCATCCCTTATTCTTCATAGGTATGAGTATGTGTACAACTAGTATTCTGACTCAAACTACCCAAAAACACTCCAAATTAGACTATTTGTAATTTTGTCCTGTAAGCATTTTGAAATTGTGTTGTGTGTTATATATAGTTAAATTCCTAAAGAAATTTATCTTTTCTTACAAGGTTTCCCTGTAGGTATAATCATGCAAAGCAAAGAATCCAGGAAAGAATTGCCAGAGAAGGAATTAAAAACCAGATTTTATATGAAAGCACCCACCTTGATCCTCAAAGAAAACAAATCAGCAGCAGCAGCAGCAGCAGCAACTGAGCAACTCTGAGCGTAAAAATTCAAAACATCTCCCTCAAGTCAGTGTGAGCATTGGGACCAGCCACATATTATGTACAATAAAACTCAAATAAATTATGTGTAAATTGCAGTCTTTTTCTTTACTTGTATGAAAACTTCCAATATAATCTGGCCCTTACCTAATCACCTCTAAAACAGAATTTTTTGGCAGTGTGTAAGTAACAAATTTAATAACACTAAGTAATAGAATCTTGGATTACAGACTTGCCTAAAAAAAACAAAAAACTCCCGATCTGATCTCAACTGCTCATCACAATTTCTAAGTGAAATTTTTTAATTTAAGAACATGTTATATATGAAAATATTTCAGTTAAAAAAGCTGGTATGGAAAAAGAATAGCAGAATCATACATTTAGACAATCCGGTTAAAATCAGTGACCATTAAAAATCTACCCCCCAATATTTACTTATCCAGGAGAAAACTCCCTTTCTTATGGAATGAAGCTATTTATGGTGTCAACATTACTTTAAAAAATCTGATACAGTACATCTGTAGAAGACTTAAGCAGAAAAAACAAAACAAGCCCAGGAATTTAAGACCAGCCTGCTCAACATGGCAAGACCCTGTCGGGAGGAAAAATACCTATTTAATTAGACAGTTTCTTTAAATACAAAAGAAACATGGGGGTGGCTTGGAGGGGGAGACACCAGTGAACTTAGATGTCTTTAAAGTATTAGTTATCTTGTTCTACATTCTTTTTTCAAAGGAAAGGTGTAATTACTCTAGTTCTGTTCAGAAAGATTTCCCCCCTCCCTCCCCACCTTGTGGCTATCACGGTTACAGTGGTTAGGGTGCAGAGGCTATGTGATGTCAAATACATTCTAAGGAGGACCTGGATAATTAATAAAGTTACTGGAAAGGAGCTTGTAAAATCTGACCACTTCAATGCCTTTCTGATCTACCTCCATAAATCTGGCACAAACCAACATTCTACATTACTTGAACTGGCCATGACCAAATTGTTAAAAATTCAGTGATGAGTTCCCCATGTTTTTAAGATGAGCACTAATCAATAATCTGATRTTTAACAAACTGGGTGGGCAGCTATTTATGCTCACAGCTTCAGTTTACTAACATATATAACCTGTATAATTGGGCAGCTGGATTAAGTCAAGTCCTAGTTCTATCATACTTCAATTACATCTTACCCTGAAAGAGAAACCTCTCGATTGGTAAAATTTCCAATGACTTCACCATTAAATAAGGTCAGTTCATTTTCACAGCAGAATGCCTGCACAAACTGGAGACCTGGATTAAAAACAAAGTTATATTTAATTTAGTTGAATTACTTTCAAAACGCTATTACATACATTTACATGATCATTGTTCTTCTTGAACTACTAAAATGTTACAAAATGGTCCTGACACTTCTACTTCAGTCAATGATCTTCAAATCCTAACTGAAGTTTTGCCAAATCTGTCACACTGACCATTACAAATTAATCCATGCCTCTAATCAGAARTTTTTCACTTTCAATGCCTTTCTGATCTACCTCAACTTTCTGGTTTTTTTTCATTTGCTTACACCATCTGGGAATCATAGTCACTTTTTCCTTTAGCTTTTCACATATTTTGTGCTTTAATTATTGCAGTAAGCACTTTCACTGTGTCACTGCTATGTGCTACAGTGTTTCCTATTACATTCCTAACGTATATGGCACAAAAAAGTAAATGAACTACTAAGTGTTCACCAATAGGTAGGATTCAAGATTTATAGCGGATCCACTTTCACACACTGCAAATTTTATTAAACTCAAAACAACCTACCTTCCACGCCCACTTGGGAGCTTCCAGCGCACCTCCATTGCTCCGAAATTCCAAAATTTCATACTAGGTGATATAGCAGTGGGTACCAGCTAAATAGCTGATTAAAATAGAATTACAGTTATTAGTTTTGAAAATTTCTCATAGCTTATCTATTATACTTGCTTTGATACTTTCTAAGATGAGATTTATGTGTTTCCCCCTTCCCTCACCCCTCCTTTTGGCTGGACTGCTTGCTTTTCCATATCAGTAAAAGGACCTCAGGGCTTTTAAATTTATTTTTTCTCTGAACTTGTGATTTATATTGAGTTCGGCAACAAGAAATCTTGACTACTCTAGAACCATTGTTGTATTTGCAAGCATCTCTTTAGTCTACGTACCTCTAACTCCATCGCTGGTTTCCCTTTGCTTCGATTACATAATGCGAGGAGGTCTATATAATAAATTCAGGATTCCTGTTTATGCACTTTTCAGCAAAGAGCTAGGGATCAAATAGGGTTTGAATCCTTCTATTCCCAGATAAAAATCTGTGACAGGGGTAAACTCACCCCTTTAAGTCATGTTAAAATATACACTATTCTTTGGGTAAAGCAGACCTTAATGAGGAAAGTAGAAAAATTAAAAACAATTGCTACAATTCTGTTTTATAATGGTCCTCTAGAATGAAATAACTTTTGGAAGCAACTTAAAAATTAGTCCAGTAATTAGCAGTTCAACGTGTCAATATATCCACTACCACCCAAATACTGGTATTTTTACACAGCTTATTATGTACATTAAGTTCCATTTTTTAAATGCTTTAAAACTTTTTCTTAGTAAGGAAAAGCTGCTGGAACAAGAAAAATTACATTATGAGGACATTTTTTCAGAATTCCATTTTGAAGCTTATGTGAGCACTACAATGTGTTTCAAA